CAGTGATAGGATTTTTGAATTTTAATAACTTTTAGATCAGTAGGTGGGAGAAGTTGGGATATTTTTGTGCATTAAAAAAAGTTTTCAGTCCCACCACGGCGGGTTACCGTGCGTCAGGATCGAAGCAAACGACTAATCATAGCGGGAGAAATTACGAAATTGTTTTGCTTGGTTCATTCTTCAAATCCTATAGCGCAGTTGACGTGGACTTTCCCAGTTGTTGCTAGTGCTGGGTTCTTGTTTGAAGAAAAACGCAATAATCGATCGTGAGTTGAATTAGTAACGCATTTATTCTCACTTTAGACTGCTGTATTATTTAGTGCAGAGCAACCGTGTAGCGCTTCCATTCAAATTATCTAGAGCTGGGCAGGTTCCATCTATTCCAAACATTTTAAGGAATCAAGAATATGGTGGACATGAGATGGAAAGTGTTATTGAGTTTATTCCAACGGAAGAGATGGATGGCGGTGAGGTTCAATGTACTGCATCGCATCCGCAGTGGACTGAACAGAAATTTGCATTATATTCACTGAATGTTCTTTGTGAGTTATACTTTGCATTTAGTAGTAGGAAAAGTTAGAATATTTGCTACAGTTTTTTGCCCCCCTCCCCTCGCCCCTCTCCCCGAAAGGTAAGAAATTTTCTTTGCTTAATTTCCTTTACTCAGTGATGTAATTTTTAGATGCTCCACGAATAGTGGTAGATGGGGCTTTAGCTATTGTCATCGGTGAGGGTGATGACTTCAAAAAAAATATTACATTACGTGCTAATCCACCAGTAAGCACTTGGAGATGGCGAAAAGATGGTTCTCATTTTGAACATATGGTCGGTGCAATTACAGCTAGAGGTACATTTTTAAAACCATGCAATGTTCTTTTGTTTCTGTGATCAATGAGCTGTCTGATTTTAAGAAATCTGTTGCAGGACCTGTCTTATCTGGACATTCCGTCACTAGATTTGATAGTGGTCTTTTTACTCTTATAGCAGGAAACAGTATCGGCACAGTCAATGTTACGGTTTATGTAACTGTGGAATGTAAGCATTATTATCATATCCTTAATCTTTTCTGGGTTTATTCGCTAACGAGGAGTAGTGCACAGTTGGAGTGTCTTAGCTTGCTTCTAAGAAAATTTTGAAGAATAAGCTGTTAACTTTCGTAAAGGAACTTGAAAGCAATATTTGTTATGGGAGTAAAACTGTTTTTACCATAATTAGTGTTTCTTTTTCTTTTCAGCAATTTTTTTTCTTGATATTCAGATGCAGCGTATGTGACGCATATAACCTCACCAGTGATAGCCACGGTAGGTGAGGAAGTAGTTATGGAATGTGAAGTAGATGGCGTTCCTAAGCGTGATGGCATGGTAAAATGGTTACATGACGAGCAAATTATTGAAGAAGTATCATTTGTTGGACAAACTAGAGCTGTTATGCGACTCAATGCATCAATTGAAACAAGTGGTGCATATATCTGCCTTGCCGATAACGGAAAAGGGGTGGTTGGTAGTCTTTATTTAAATCTTTTAAATGAATTTCGTCGCGTATATGCCAATAATGAATAAATGAATTTCGCCAATAATTGCTACTATAAATGTGTTGAAGATTCACAACAAATTGCTGGTTATTGTAATAGAGTTAATGCTGGATCTTAGAATTCTTACATTATTTAAGGCTAATCGCACTGTGGCGTATCTGTTGGTGAATCGTGCACCAGCAATCATTAGGCAACCATCGCTTTTACGAGCTGCTGGACCTTTGGGTGGACGAGTACAACTTTGTTGTAGAGCACATGCAGTTCCGGATGCTCATTTCCAGTGGATTGTTCAAGGACAGTCAAGCCCAGTCCGGCGAAATAGTTCTAAATATTCGTTCACAACCCTTCAACTGAATTATTCTACATTTGAGGTTAATATCGTTTTCATAATTTTCTAGTTTGTCAATTTTCTGTCAATTTTGTCAAATTTGTCAAATTTAAGTGATGGTACTTAAAAATTAATGGTATAAGAAATGCTTAAATTCCAGGGTGTGTTTTATATTTCTTCTTTGGATCGTTACGACTACCAGCATCCAGTAAAATGCTTCGCAATAAATAGGTATGGAGAAGATACTGTTGAAATCCGAGTCAGTCCGCCAACAGCCCCAGATACTCCTTTCTCATTACGAGTTTCAAATATTACAAAAAATTCTCTGTCATTTAATTGGATTCCTGGTTTTGATGGAGGTTCGGAACAAATATTTGAAGTGCGTTACCAGACATCTGTAGAGAATGTTTATCATATCGTTAATTCGTCATTTCCGGTTGGTTTTTTGGAATGTTTAAAATTTCACACCATCGTTGTTGAATAAAATAGCTTAAGGTTACATGCTGTTTAATGGATGACAATTGCATATGTCAACAATCTTTCGGCTACTGCAAGTTTTTGTAGAGGAATGAAATGTAAAAAATGACATATGCTTCTATTTTTCTTAGTTTTCTATACATATCGTGTAAGTTTTATGAGAAATTTTAGGAAGTAGAAATCCGAGGATTACAACCAGCTTGTCTATACGAAATCTCAATCCGAGCACGAAATAAACGTGGCATGGTGTCAGAATTTTCTCGACCACCTATTACTGTGTATACAAAAGACGAATACGGAATGGATGTTATTAGTGCGACAAAGGTTAATATAATATTCCGTGTGTGTTTTGGATTTCCAAGTCTTTAATACTTCGAAACCAGAACTAATTTTTGCTTTAAGGAATTAAGTTGTGATACGGTACACATGCCTGTAAAATGCTTCAATTTATTTTAGAAGGATTCTTTTCCTATGTCAGTAATCGTGGCATTTGGTATATGTTGCATAATTCTATTATTATTAAATTGCTTTCTACTCTGTTACATTCATCGACGAAAACGAAGGAGACAGCTGCAAGGTAAGTTGAGTGACGTTTGATTTATTCATTCCGAAATCGTAGTAATATTTTAATTGATTTCGCTTAATTAATTATAATAATAATGAAGGCAGCTGTTGTGATGTTCGTTTTGCAATAATTTTCCAGAAAAAACGGAGATGGTACGAAATGCCAATAATAACGGCTTAGATGTAAGGCCAGTACAAATGTATGGAGCGTTAACATGTGCTGAAAGCCTATATAGACCGGATTCGATCAATACAAGCAGAAGCGAATTAGGTCATGATCCACATTCCGAGGATGACCAGAGTTTGAGAACAATGATTGTATGTGTTAATATTTGTTACAACAAATTGTCTGTTTCATATTTTACTTCCAATGCATATTTTTTAGCTTTAAACTGATCGAAATTACTTTTTGAGGAAGTTAGTCCAAATGGATATGTACAGCAAGTGGATCCAGTTAATTACTATGAACCGGAATGTTTGGTTGAATATGAATTTGATCGTACGTCATAACTTTCCTTAATTTGTTAACAGACCTTAATTTGCCACTTTTCTTTTTATTGCTGAAAAACCCCACCTGTCTATTTTTAGCAAATCTATATGGTGATGTTATCAAATCAAATACATTGCGAAGGTCACTGCATAATTACGTCAATCTTCACCACCCAGTATTTCATTTTTGAGTTTTTTTTCGTTTCAAATAAAACAGTCATAAAGAAATATTTGCATTTTATGTAATGATTGCATTAATTATTCAATGCAAACGGAAATCTGGGTAAATTCGGTGGCTTAGAAATTAGTTTTCATTACGTTACAGATTATGAGATGAAATTATTGGATACTGTAGATCTTTTTTATTTAGAAGGTATCGGAAAATGGTGATACAACGTTTAGCTTTACGGATAGAGATTCACTGTCTTTGGTGACCGACGTGGATGATGTTGATTCTTCACGTCGAATACATAAACCACGTATTATTGATGTCAGTTCTTCAACCAGTTTGCTTGCAAATAATAACACAACGTCACAAATGTTGAGCACGTTTTTACATCATGGTGGAATACATACCACTCCATTTAATTTTGCGCATGTTGACGGTGACCTTGTGTAATCTTTATTCGTAAAGCGTGATATTTCGTACAGAATACTTCGTGCAAATCATTTAGTCATTCTTCGACATTGTAAATTTATTCCTAATCCAAAAATACATTAAATTATTCCAAATTCAGGCAGAAATGAGGGAGGGGAATTTGTTATAATAACTTATATCATATTTATGGCTGCTTAGAGTAATAAGCAAGTACCATTTTTGGCTTCTCTAATTACCGAATATATCGGATTCAGGGTGCTCTTAGTAGTATTCTTTTATATTGTTCTTTAACTCCAGTACTTGCCAACGGGTTTTCCTTTCTTTTTATCCTCAGTTGTGTTTCGTAGTGGTAACCTTTCTGAATGTGTTCAGATTTCAATGTTCAACTCTTTTCAAATTTCACATTTCTAAGTTGCAAATTTAGTTTCGTATTTCTGGTATCTACATGTTTTCTTTTTTCTGAAATGTACTAATAATTTCTTCGGGATTACTGAAACTACTACTGCTATGATTCCAATCAACTGATACCATATGCATATGTCGCCTTTTTTGTTGGTGCTGAATTATATTGTTCATCTCAAGTAACTGCCTCATCATACATACGCAAACTCCATACTATATTTCATTCCTGTTTTTTCCAAAACTTAATTTTTCTTGAATTCGAATACCTTATATTTGGTAAGCTATTATCCATCTTATGCAAATTTACTTTTTACCAAGTGTGCAGCGTTGTTGATTCACTAATTCAATTTTGTTAATATGTGTATCTGTAAGTTGTGTTAAATTTTATTTTTTAGTTACCGATGTTTCCATCTTACAATTAGCGAGTAAGTCAAGCTGTTAGTAATGGTGCATGGGAATCATAAGAAGTCATACTACTGTTTTATGTTGTTCTAATGGATACTTTAATAAATATTTTTCCATTTTGCTCCTTGATATAGTGAGTATATCGATTAGATCAACCATCGAATAGTTGTAAGAAATTCGTCCTGATGATGTTTTAGAGTTAAGAGATGACGCGCCAAGAGGATAGTTCGAATTATGTTGGAAGTGAACTGAAACCAATGATGACAGAGTGGTCAGTCAGCGAATTTTTATTCCAGTTTTTCGAATTTCAAAATTTTTAAATACTGTCAATTCCAGACCAAATTGTAGTTGAATCTAACAGCATAGTTCTAAAGGAAGAGAGGACAGAGAGATTGAAGATGAGTTATCAAAAGTTTCAGGGAAGGTTGGGGAATAGCAATTTACTGTGTCGAGGAATGCGCAGGATATGTTGTTGGTGGAGTACATTTGTTTATTGGCCAGATATTTCAAAAGATCACCATGGATACTGGTGTCAAGGAAGGAGCATATAGAGCTTCAAGAAACGGATGAGGTGTGGTCGATGACTGCCTGGGTAGGATGGCATTGCCAACATGCTCACGTTCCTTTACATAAGCCTGACCTAGTACCGAATGCCTTGTTGCTATTTACTGCCGTTTGTTCCCAGTGTCTATATTCTACTTCTTAGCTATTATCAACTTGTTACTACTCAACAGCATTTCGAACAACATGCACTGCCTACAGATCATATTGTGGTATTTCATTTTTATTCTTCCATTAGCTCTCACGATAAAACTGCTTCTTTTGCTTTACTTTAGCAGTTATACAGAGCAGACTACTATGAATTTTGTTTCATATTTAACTGCAAGTCAGAAATGTCTTGCAGTTAAAGCAGTTAATTTTACCTAGTCCAGGTTGCTTTTACAGAGCGCTATTGATATCCTTGCTGTTATTCAAAGGAGTAATTCTTTATCCTTTAGCTTCTATTTATTTCTGAGTTTTTCTTTCAAAACCTTGGAAATTAGAAAAAAGGAGCGGGATAAATCACTATGGCTGTTCTTGAGACGAAGGATTAGATATCTCAGAGTGCTTAATTTCCTATTTGACTTACATGAAGATCATGGTCACACAGGTACATTCATCCAGTTCCAATGTTTCTATCACCGATTGGGTAGTTGTCATCTCAGATGAATCAAAAGTTGAATTCCAAGAACAGTTTCTGCATGGAAAAGTATGGTCACGCAATTCAAGATTAGACTTTCAACCGCATGGACAAACTGAAAAATTTTCCGGTTATAACAATGTTCTTTCCATTTTTGAGCTCTCACAAGTAATTCTTCAAACAAAATGCGAGCAAATCCAGATAAGTTTCCCCTTCATTATGAAAAGATGATTTTTTGTGAATTATGTAACTGTCCTAAAACTTTGATTGCGTGCTATTTGCAGTCCCTTTGATTTTTTGATGAATAGTTTCGAAAGAATTACTTCATTCTTTGAGAATTATCATAGCAAGCTTTGATTTGCAAACGTTTTTCTAAAAGATCAATTAGAATAGTCTGTAATGAAAAACGGAAAGGGAAAAAGACAGAATGATTAAAACCCCGTACTACTAGTTTTCCAAACTATGTTAACTTTTTACTGAAAAGCAATCTTTTTTTAGGATTAATTGGAAATAGTTTATAAAATTTAGTCTATGCTTCAAGGAATTGTACCCTCTAGATTTTTTCAAGCCTTATAAACTACTTTGTCCTGGTTAAGCTGATGTACATTAATTAACTGGTCATCAGTTCGACTTTCAGATATTGCTGAGGGCAAATCGAAGCACTGACGGTCACTCCTATATGGAGTATAGAGCTGATAAGAAGGTCAACTTAATTTTTTCCAATGGTATTACTGAAGTAAATGCAATTAATGGCCAGTGGGCTCACGTTTCGGCTGTTACTTGGCAGTTACCTGTGGCTGGTCAAATCACTATCGGTTCCAATATTTTAAATGGTCTTAATCGTCAACTTCATATTGTTTCAGTCAGCAGTAACTACAATATTAACATGACTATTTTCAATGCACAGGTTAACACTTTTAAGATTTCCATGTTGTTCTACATTTCTTTAATTATTGCTAATTATTTAAGTATATTGGTTCAAATTTTGTTTTAAAAAATCCTCGAAGTTTTTTCTAGAGTTCCTCCACTTTCTGATCAAATTTTTGCCAAGAACTGTCATAATTTTTATGGCAACGGTTTTTACTTTTCCAGTTTGCAAATCTTAAACCTTATTCAGATGAAAATGCGATATGGAAATATTACCGTACAAATAACACCAGACTATCGTTTTCTAAGGATAAGGTCAGGATTATACATGGTTAATTTGAAAACTATTGTATCACCTTTTGAAATATTGGTTTCTGACCACGAGATGATTGTGCAATGCGAGAATGAACGAGCAATTGTACAAATGCTCCCTAATTCGTCAAATATCATCATTAGTACTGATCAGTATTCCAGGTATCTGAGTTTTCAGCAAATTAATTTAGGACATTCGTAGAGAATTCCAAAATTTCGTGTTTTGTAGTTTTTAAAAGTTGGTTGTTCGAAATAGTTTTTTCACTTTACTGTGCTTCTTGGTATAAGACTAATAGTCTTTTCACAGAGTGGTCATTGACCGTGGAAGAGAAGCGGTCGTCGTTGGAGGTCGAGAAATACGTCCTGCTGGCAATGTAAATCTTTTATCAATGCAGCTGAGAATTTTATTGAAATCTGGCAATACTAGCTCCATTCATGCATCTACAAATCGTTCACAAATTACAGTGCAAACTACTTCAACAAATGTTCGCATTTTTTTTTCTTTTTGGAAGGTTTTCTTTTTATAATTTGAATACATTTATCAACTATATCAAGTTAATGAAAGGATTAAAAAGTCGAAGTGCAAGATTAAATTATATTAAAGAGATTTTTGAAAATAATTTTTAACGCAAAGGTGAATTTAGAATTCTACAATAATTTCATAACTTTTATTTCCCTGCGTTACAGATGGCTTCAACAGCTTCGCATCATGCGGTGGATATTACTGGTGGAAAAATAAACTTACAAGTTTTCACCGGCAATGTTTCAGTGGATGTCGTTGCAAACAATCATTTAGAATCATTGCCAACAATGTTAACTCCATTTCTGACTCCTCAGGACCATTTTCAGGATACCACGTTGAATAATTTTGATCATAATTTCCCCACAGATGAACGAGATAATAGCAGTAATAAAACAATATTGGCTACACAAATACCATTTATTATGGCTAATGTAAGTAGTGATTTCCAAACTGGAGTTGCTGCAACAACCGATCGTCATATTTACGAAAGTATTCCTGAATCAGCTTTTATGACCCCTTTGCTTCCTCAATTGACACTTATATTTCCTGAATCATCATCAACCATTTTGACTAGGAGTAAAACTTCAACGTCCTCAAGTTCTACTGAAAGTACAGCTCTGTCGTATTCTGAAAACACTTCGCTCACAAGTTTTATTGCTGAGGCTACAGAAACAGAACGAATTGGTACTTCGACAAATGTGCCTAGTTGGCCAAAAGTTGTAGAAACAACAATGACATCAATTATTTCACTAGATACGTCAACAGTCGCTTCTTCAGGAACATTATCCACATTAAGGACTATATCTTCTAGCTCTTCATTCACCTTAACAGCTATGCTTTCGAGTTTACTATCCAATTCACTAGTGACTATACTCCCAACCATTCCGCTTATTCCAATTAAAACACTAATCACCAACCGCACAGCTGAAGTCATTATTAGCAGTATGCCGGTGCCGATCACTTCTCACATCCCACAATCAGTTATTAACGCTTCAACAGCAAGTAATCCTGGTGATGTCACTGAGATTGTGGTTTCCGAAAAAGAATATCCCAATGATGAGAATCGCGATTATGTTCAAACTGAGTTTATCGAATTTAGTTGGGGCAATGTTGCAGGAAACAGTGTACCTATTACAATGCCTACTACCATGATTGCCACCACAACGCATACAGGTAGATTTATTATATCCCGTGTCAGTTTAATTTTAAAATTCTGGAATACTTTAAAGAAAACGGACAACAACTTCTGCAATTTCCAGAATTGCTAAATAATTTAGTGTAGCAACTGTTTTAATAATAGGACGATCTACTGCTCTTTACACCTATAACTGTACATGATTTGTTTTATATTATATTGCACACCTTCTCATTCTTTTCAATTCGTTATCCCTTAGATTCTCAATTTCTTTGGATAACTTAATCTTCTGTGCTAAGGGTTTGGTAATATATAATATTCCATAAATCCTTAAACTGGAAAATATCAATTATGTCGTAGAAAGTGGCAAAAAATGCTTTATTTTAAAATTTTAGATGCATTAAGTCTTACGCCACAAAAAATGGGAACAACTACTAAGTGTATCGAGAGAGAACCATCAGAATTGCAGAACACTCGTAAGTTAAAGTACTACTGCTATTTTCCTTAATTGAAAATCAAATTCTTAATAGAATCAATTCTAGCCTTATTTACTTTATGTTTTAAAAGTTCAGTTAATTTTCTGAAATTAATTTTTGCTATAAGGAACTTAACAGTGAATTGCTTTTATGTTATAAAGATTTTATTGATGTTCCAATTGCCTAAGTACATTTTAAGTAATGCTTTTTAATACTTTTTAGTAATACTTTGAGTAATACTATGATCCTATATTTTCTGTTGCTTGCATATGCCTAGTATTTCGTAGAGTTTATGCCGATGAGCTCTTTTATTTACAGCATTTTTTACCAAAGAACCAACGGTAATGAATACGTCAGAAAAACCGATCGTTGTGAAAACAAATCGTTCAATTGGTTATTATTTCGTCGTTTTTATTAGATGCTTAAGTGACACCTTATTTATATTACCATCTGTTGCTGTACTTTTTTTTTAATTTCTCTAGAAATTCCAGGCTCAGCATGGACTCCGTTTGTTTCTCTACCATTTGAATTTCCACCAACTGCTCATTATCCGTCTACCGTTTCATTTCGGAAGGGTTGTTTATTTCATGATTACTTTTTTTCCTGACTAACAGTACGGCTAATTTAAATTTATTACAAATATAGAAACGACCGGCAAATGTTGCAAATTCTTTTTTACTTCAAGGCTTCAAATTTGCTTTACATTTCAGGCAATTTTATTCTACAAGATAGCGAAGCAAAGAGTGAAATAACTTTTGACGCAAATGAAATTTCAAAACATAAGGAATGGAATAAAAGTGCTTTGGAAGTTCCTTCTATCCCCATGATCACCTTTTTGAAAGAAATTTTCGATAAAATAATCCAACATGACTCCGCAACAAAAAAAGAAAGTCAAAATGGTCATGAAAATCCGGAGACTGAATTCGAACAACAGCAAAATTTCTTTTCCACTAGTAAATTCAAACGTGCACTATCTAGCTTTGAAAATGAAGAACGTTACGAACTTCAGTTGAAAATTCCGCTTGGTATCAATTTAACAGCAGTGGAACTGCATCATAAGTTATTGCTAGCATTGAAAAAATTTGTGCTTTTCACTGATTTGAATGAAGGACGCTTACCGATCAGTGAAGATGCAGTACAGATTAAGGTTATTCTCAACTTTGTTTCCTCTTCAATTTTCACAGAGTTAGTTTATACTAATAAATATAAAATAAATTTGTTCATCATTTCAAAGCCTGCCATCATTTATTAACTCACCTGACTAATTAAATATTTGCATTAGTAACAGTAATGGAGATTGCTTCTATTTTCTTAAATTTCTTATTCACTCATTCTTAGAATTTTCAGATAACAAATATGGAGCGAAACGGTGAGCACCTGAAAGTGCTGTACTCAATATCTATAAACGCAAAGGTATTGGGGTTACTTTTTTCACGAAAAAAATTCTCGATTTCTTCAATTCTGTCCATGATATCAGCTATGTTTCATCAGTAATAGTAATAATAAATTAATAATACTGATAGATTAGTAGTGATAAATTAGTAATAAATTTAGTGATGATAATAATAGTAATAATAATAATAAATAATGATAATAATAATAATGATAAAAGTAGTAAAGAAATCAATAATAATAAATAGTTCAAAATGTTAAAATAGTTTAAAGTAAGTTTCGTAAGCTTTATTACACTTTAGACAAAGTGTTTGTCTTCCACAAAGAGCAATGAGTGGCTCGAAAAAGTCACTAATAACATGGTGGAAACAAATAATAGACGACAACTATGAACTATTTTTCACCTCTAAAATCTCTTTATGAGTTAAGAAACAATTTATCTATTTATTGCGAAAATTGGATTTTACAGTAAAAATATACGACGCAATCAATCGTAAATTATTGAAGATACATGAATCATCTAATTACACGCAAAGTGCCGAATTCAGTAGTGCTGAATTTTTATTTGCCATAATCGGCATTGTGGTTGTGTTATTTTTTACCGGTGCTGTACTGGTTTACAACAATGTTTCGCGGTAAGAATCGTTTTTTAACGAGTGCTACTTTCGCACAGGTAATCTCATTTGACTTGTCGTCAATTTCTAGTCATATTCTGACTTGACCACAGCTGAGTCTGCAGCTGATACATTAAATTGCAATTTCTTTTGTTTTCGATTTCCTTTTTTCACTGTACTAGACAAAAATGTCTTGTTTAATAGTAGAGGAACAGCAGTAAGCGCTGAATAGAAATGGAAATGCTAATCATGTTTGAAAATTTTGGTTTTCCAGAATTCGATGCTTTAAAATTTTTGTTTCTAAACAGTACCATTATAGGATTTTTCGATAAGGAATTAACTCGTGGATTATTGAAATTGTTATCTGTAATATTGGAGTAACAGTCACTACGATATAAAGCACTGACTTGTTTGTTATTTGCTACAATTTAGGTCTAATGAATTCCTTCATTTTCAAGTATGTATTCAAACGAACCATGTTTGCTCAGTCTTACCTGACATACAAACAAACTGCCTCCGAGTTGTATTTGTTTTTTACTAAAACTGTCGAATTGTAATATCAATTTATAGAAATTATCCGTAATACAATGAATTTTGCGTTTATTGCAGATTCGGAAACTAGCTTTTCTGCACTTAGATTGATTACTATTTTCTATGATTTAACTTATTTCAATATATGATATTCTTTTTGTCTGCACAGTTTCAAAGGTATTTATTCACTAATACGAAAGGATAATTTGTACCAGAAACAGATTAAAATTTCTAAATTGTGTCCTCATGATACCATTGCAAAGGTGCCCGCTACAAATACATACATTCAGAGTATCTGAAAAAACGAACTATTTTCAAAGCTACGAAAGGATTTTAAAGTGCTACCGTATAAAATCTTATGGCAATCTCCGTAGACCTATTCTCTAACATAATTTTGTCAAATTTACTGATGAAGACTTTGCCAACTGTCAGGTATATACTTCCACAAATTTTGCTTGTGATCTATCACTGTCCTTATATGCGAGAATCTTAGTATTTCACTGCACTCAAGTCATGTTAAGATATTGTTTTTGTTGCACAGTCAAATTGGGGGGCTGAATTTACAGAAGTGATTATCTGCTTTATCCTAATTCCACTCGGTTACTGTGAAAAACGAACCTCTGCTACGAGCGAATGCTTACTGGCTGTATATTTTCATTTCCGGTGTCTTTTAACATAAACTCCGAATGCCTCCTCTGACTGGAAATAACAAATTTTTCAGAATGTATTACAGTCATTAAAGAATGAAAGGTTTAGTAATCAATTGTTTCTCTGATAGCTCATATTGTCGATCCTGTTATACAAGGTCGATATTATTAATTACTAAATTAATGTGATCGAATGAGCAGAGATGTGCTTTCATAGTCAAGTAGCACCAATTACGCTACTTTTTCTAATTCGTTTCCTTAAACTTCACGAATGAATTTTCGTTCAGTGGACGAAAAACTTACACTAAAATTTTCACCATATTGTTCATTTTCTGACAAAGCGAGTATTTTCAAACCATTTCCTCCTGTTCTAATGCTGGTTTTCATCCATAAATCCTTCAGGATCAATTGTTGTACAAATAACACTTTACAATCGAACGCCATCCACTAACTTGTAACGTCATTTGAAGCGAAATCAAAACAGCAATCATCAGCTTGGCACTGCATAAAATCAAAGTAACATTGAAATTCATTTCAAAATGCAAGACATTGGATTTAAAAATTTAATTGGAAACTCAATGGTTCGCTGAGGATTTCTTTTTCGACACTTTTTTTCTTTTTTTAAAGATATGCCGGTTATTAATAATTTTTATGTTACACAACAGTTCTAATGATTGCAAAGAGTTGTTTGTCATCTTTACTGTCTTATTCAGACAGCTATTTGTTATCTTCAACAAGACAATAAAAAAAATACATATTTTTTAGGTTCAATAAATTGTTTCCATTGAATTTTGCCTACTCTTGTTACTTACTTTAAAGAAACTTCAGTATAGAAGTAGCGCTTTAGTCTTCTCCCTTGATCAGCGTAGAATGGAAGCTGTTTTCAGCATTCAGTAGTTCTCAAATACCGACTGAATGAATAATCAATAATAAACTTTATCTTTTTGATTTCTTTAATTATTACACTTTGATAACAATAACACAGGAACGGATCGAATGTAATTATAAATAAGTTGAATGGCTTGCAGATACCAAAGTGCGAGGTTACTCTATGATTTTCAAATATCTGGAATGCATCCATTATTGTTTTCAGTGGGCTATACCAAGGAAGTTACAAATGATCCCTACGGTGCTGCATTAATCAAATCTTTGAGAAGATCAAAGTGTGTGCTACCTACAGATTAAATGCAATAATTTCATTGTTGGTGGAACTGTTAAATCGCCGCAACAGCATTCTGTAAAGCAAGTAGTTTCTAGCAGCGCTTTATCCCATTGTTTTAGATATACAATTCTCGGTGTTTCGTTGGAATATCTCTAATATCTTAAATGTAACTAGTACATCAAAAGCGGTATTTCAGTTGGAGGAAGTTGATAGATTAATCTTTTCAAAACTGTTCAACTTTTGTATCACAAAACACTGTTGCGGAGAACTTATTGAAAGAACGATTTAAGCAATTTAATAGTATTTTTCGCTAGCAACTACGGATTAAGCTAAAATGAATAAAATAAATAAAATAGGATATCACCGGGGCTGTCGCGAATTATAATTTCGCGAAAACTTCTAACCAATTTCATAGTATCATAAAACATCTCTCCTTTTAAAATTGTAAACAATCCTACGGTATTCATACATGTAATTTTAATCTCCTTTTTGTAAACACCTCCAATTCTTCATGCATGTAATTTTTTTTCGTTGTAAACACTTCCAATTCTTCACACATATGATTTTTATGTAAAATTGAAATTAGCTTTCATTTTAATCTTTTCTTTGTAAACACTTCCAATTCTTAACGTATTTTATTTTAGACACGCCCATTCCTCACTCATATAAATTCAATTCTAATAAACAAAAGGTTTGAGAGAGTCATTATAGTCGACTACTACTCTGTTAACCAATATAAATTCTTCCGATCTTCTTTATTATAAGTTTCTTCTCTCTTTTTACTGCTCTGTTTATTAATACTACGTTTGCGAAAAATAAAGGCTTATTAATCTTTCTACTGTATTGCAAACAATTCGAATATCAACCAACAAACCCTTCACGACAGGGGCAACTTATTTTGCATAATTTTACATGTTCCTTGTTTCCCACAAATTCATCGTAGGCCTAGAAGACTTTACTTTGTAACATAGATATTTTCTTATGCTATAAATATTTAATGCAAGAAACTGAAACTGAAAACTTGAAAGATAAGAAATTGTAAAGAGTTAATTAAACTAAAATATTTGACGAAGCTTTTGAATTATTTTGTACAAACGAGTGAAATATTTAGATCCAACAAAATGTTTATTGCTGTGATGAAATGAACAAAACTGTAACAAGAAATCACAGTAAATTATTGTGATTGTCCAATTCTCTCGCTTTTTCCTTTTTCTTCTTCCACAAGATATAATTGTACTGCGCAGACATATAAGCCGTTTCGCAAAGTAGAAAAATAAATTCGCAACACGTGAGAAAACTAATACCGCACCAAAGACCAAGCTGTCCTCCAAAATCGGCCAATAAATTTACGAACTGACAAATAATAATAGGTACTGAATTGCCACAGCAAGGAATGAATGCACCACTGGTTTTTGTTCATAGCTAACTTTTCAGTGTACAAGACAGTTATTGAAATTTCTCATCCATTTTTTGTAAATCCTAAGGATAGTGCTTCTTTTAAAAAATGTAGCATTTTCTTCACTTCGTAACATTTCCATTACTTTATATCGATAAAATACATTTCACACGTCAGTTCTCTCAATTTATAGCTCAACTTTTTTTTTAAAAAAAAAACCTACACCATAGGCTTCAGATTCAGTGAGCATTTCATAATTGAGCTGTTCGTAGAACACTTCAATCATGGCACCATTTTCCCTAAAAAATTTAATGTGCAATAAATATGTCACTTTTCTGTTATAAGTAAAATCTCAATATATATTTGTTGAAAATTTAATACTATTTACAGAATTATGGAAATAAACCTTACTTATAATGTCTATTACATTCAGCTGGTGTACCGTTACAGATGCCCAATTGTACATTCAAGGAATGTGATGGCCATTTAGCTGGTGAATAAGTTACTGAATAAATGGACTGCTTACAAGGTTGTTGACAGCGACAGTGAAAACTTCCATTCAGTTCGCCTAATTCATTTGTGCGCTTGTCCAAACAACGTCCTGAAACTTTTCTTGGGTTCCAATTCGAAAGTCGTAACTAAGGTCATAAGTAATAAAGATTTAAACTAAATTTGAGTTCAAATCGTGAAAATCTTTTCAAATGACACTGAATGCATCAAAGCGAACGGGCTGAAGGATCCGTTGCTTTGCAATGTTTATGTCCAGGCGGTAATGGAAATCTTGGATCGCCACACTGACAGTCCTTTAGAACAAGCTGTTGAAAACATGAACGATAACAGCCCTAAAAATTAGTCCAGTTTGAGTAAGATTAAAAAATACCCTACTTAAAAATAATTTAAGAATAACATACCTCAACAGAGTAGTCGTAATTCTCATAGATATAGTCTGAAGTTTTTCCATCAGGAATGCAATCGCCATAAGGTGCCGGAAGCCTTGTCATTCGCTTCTACAAATCATTTCTAAGCTTCTATCATAATAAATTCATCCTCACAATGATTTTAAATAAATAAATATGTATATATTACCAATCTAAGTCCAAAAGAAGAAATGTATCCAGTCGGGGCAGAATACCCAAACGTATCAGGAAACGGATAGTCTTCCTTGTCATGAATTGTAAGTCGAATTCCGGTAGCTTCTGTCGTCGGCATATATTCCGATTCATTTACATACAGCAATATCCGAAGACCATACATCGGGCCTATGTAAATTTTTTAAACATAAATCTAACAGCTATTTCAAGGTTCAGAAGTCATAAAACTCCATCAGCTATAAGAAGAGTTATGACGGATTACTTTCGCGGTACATACCTGCTCGAAGACTAGTTAAATTCATGCTTCGGTTATGGTTGAAAGTAAAACATGACCCAAAGTTCGGATCAACGTGAGTTAAGAAATCGCTAAAATAAGTTTAAGTAAAAAAGTGAATATCGATATGACTATTGCTTGTTCATCGTTTTAAAACTATGAATAACAAAAATTTTATATAATTGGCCATAGAATAAAAAATAAAATTTTGGCTAACTTCTAGTCTCTTGGTAGTAACGTTAAAGTCAAAAAAAAAAACCAAAAAAAAAAAACAAAAACAAATTATCATATTTTCTATTCGATTACTATGCAAAAAAAATGTTAAAGTCAAGTATTACTGGTCGATGTTACAAGCGATTCCGTTAAATGAACATTTATGGACTAGTTCACGTTTCGTTGTTGAAATTCTTTGTCGATCTTTCATTGGTAAGGCTGCCATTGCAAATATGATGTTCTCTTTGGCTTTTGTTACAATTGCTACCTTAAGAGTGCGATAATTCGATTGGAAGTGTAAATTTTCCCAATTTATTCACATTTCACTTTGTTTAAATTCCTTTTGACAAAAATTACATTTCTGAATAAATTTCACCTCATCAGTCATCCCATCAAAACCCATTGCTTCAACAAATGTCGAGTCTTCAGCGAATTCACCATCTTTCAGATATTCCCAGATATTGATTATATCAGAATCACCATCATAGGCAACACAGAAAACACCAGACGGTGCGCATATACATGGAATGCTGCTATTTTGTTGTCCCTTCATGCTCACTGTGAATACTAGTCAATTGAAAGATAAAATCATAAAGAAATACACAAAGAAATGTAACTCGATATTTCATGCTAAGGTAAGCTTAAAAAAAACCACGCTCGCAGAATGCTCGAGAATCACATCTTTGACACATATTCTTTGACCAGTAAATATCGAGATGACAGGGCCAAGCATCTTTTGTACTTCTATCAAACGCGCATATGCATTTCTCACGATTGTTTTTTGGCTTTTCATATTTATGCTTCTCACCCTCACACTCATTTTCAGTGTCAATCGAATCGTCGCATATACATTTTGAGTACCCCTATAATATGATTAAAGAAAAACAGTCTAAAAATGAACAATTGATCAAATATGCATTAGTAATCTATTTGCAGAAAAAGTGTTCTATACATGTAAAATAAGTTACCTGGTTTACCCATTACAAGAAAATTTATTTTTGGAATTTAAATCAGGAATTTCATCCTTACCGGTTCAAACATTGAAGCTTTTTGAGCCTTTGCCACAGTACCAGCATTTCTTTGCTTTCTCTGGTTAATATTGGACGAAATAGTCCGACTTGCTTTATTCAGTGCACCGTCAAATGCCGTTAGCTGACGAGAATTTCATAAAATCAATGAGAAAATTTTCATATTTATTTCCCATACCAAATTTTTGAAAAATTTTCCCAGTTCTAATTACATATCTGTTGTTAGTAATATTTATTCTACAAGTGAAATTTTATCCTTTCTCCTCTTATATAATATTCAAAAAAGTTCTTTTGTATAAATTATATTTTGAAAAATACCATTCTGCGAATGACATCTACGTCCGTTGCAAGACTAGCTTTATAAGGATTCAAATTGCACAAAGTAATAGCAGGAAATGGCGCCGTATCTAAATTTATATTAACACATTTTCATTTGAAGATTTGGGAAAGTCTTCATTCAAAAATACTTGCCAAACTTCAGCTGAATATCGACAATTTTTTCATTTCGATGGTATTTGTCGAGAACACTTTCAGCATTATGATACAACATCGTCAAGCATCCGAGAAAAAGTAATACCCATATTGTTCTAAATTTACCCAGTTTTCAGAACCACACGCAAACCATCAGAATGCATGAAAAAGTATTATAAAAAATTTGTAAAAAATAGACAAAGAACCTGTAGTACTTGTTTTGTGCACGACTAATCATTGGTATTCCATGTGCACTTGTTTTACAACAAAACTCTTTAAAATGCCATACCAATCGTTTTTTGTAAGGTGCTGACTTCAGGTTAAAATCTGCGGTAGCGAGTTCACACTAAAGCAAAATCATTTTTTTTTTTATCCCCGCAGTTTCAATAAACAGTAAATCAGGAAAAGAAAAGAATTATACTAGCACACTTGTACAGATGAATTTGTTAAACCATAACATTTGCCATAACCGAAATTGTCGTAATATTCACTTTCACTTAAAAATATTTCAGGAGAATAATCCTGCAAATTTTTATAAGCTTCCAATTGATATGTATAAAAACGACTTAAATATTTGAATGACAATGTAATATTTTCAAGGAAGAAACTAATAAAAAAAGAAGTAACCCGAAGATATGCCAAAGAAGTGCTGTAAATTGCCTTTATGTAGTCCGCGTTATCTTTGAAGTGATCGAAATTTTTTATGCTCGTTATCCAAGACATCTAAAATTGGATGAGTAAAAAGTTCGTTATGGTCATTAACTTTGAGAGATCATGTTTTTCAGTAATAGATAAAAAGAAGTGGATAAAGTGCTTCATTATTAACAGTAATTGCTTATAACTTGACATTTTATTATTCATTTAATAAGAAATAAAATTTCCACTTTGAGAAAATCTGACAAAATTCTAGAAAGATGAGTAAAATCTAAAATTTCTTATTACCCAAATAAGCACGGTGTTGAGAATAAAATTAAATTGCTGAGGGAAATGATATAAGATGTGCTTAAGCTATCGGTAATCCATATGATCAAATATGCATGAAGCATTTTGCATCCTTCATTACACATCTATCTATCTATCTATCTAGTTTTTTTTTTTTTTTTTTTTTTTTTTTCAGTTTTCATTGCTAGGCATCTCTAATAAACAACATGCCAATATCCTGAAGAACTTTGTCATTAAAGCATTAATTTGCAGTATTCTTGAAGAGCAGGATTAATTACAAACTTTATCTTTTTAATCGTTCCAAATAAAGTTATGAAGAAGCATAAGAAAAAAATGTCTCAAATTCCAGGAATTACTTACTGCCATCAATTTGAAATCCTACATGCAAATTTTCAGATTCCAAATCCTTATAGACAATATGAACAACTTTATTATTCATCTTGCGTCAACTCATTTCATTCTTCAAGGATTCTATATGAATATCGCTGTCGTTTGGTTTGACAAAATTGAAATGTAATCCAAATGTGCGGATCATTTTAATTAACACATCATATATTGGGAAAAGATTAAATTTTCTTAAGCTAAAACGCTTGCAAAGTGAATTAAGTAAATTTCTAGAATCAGTGTCATCAGCTGTCATGAATTTACTTTCATTTGAGCTACCCTGATGCAGAAAGAATATTCTCTTGATTTAAATCTGTAAATTTATTAAAGTTAAATAAATTGAATCTAGAAACTGTTACCAGAAGTTATTATTCCTTAAAGATGTCCACCCTTTCTCAATGTGTTGCGAAGCTCTAATTTTTCACAGAACAAAATTTTGTGAGTAATGTTAGAAACCTAAGATTTTAAATTTGTAAAATCAAGTTGAACAGCTACATGGAACTATCAACTCAATATCAGCAGATTCTACGAAAATGATGCTGGATCTAAAAAAAAAAAAAAAGAAAAGTATTGAAAGACTGAATGAATCAGGACAAATAATACAATTGCATGAAATACTTTTTCGGAAGACAGCAAGATTGTACCTCCCAAATTACTTTTGCAAATCTTTTTTGGAAGTACGCACAACAAGTCAATCTTAACTTCTACATTTTCAACAATTTTCCTGTTAGGTTTTGATCGGAAATCATTAAAGTTGCACACATATTTTCTAACTTAATATTTGAAATTCATTTAAAGAGAGTTATTGAAAGTGAATTGCCGAACTTGACAGTAACTCACGTGTTTGGCAGATGAATCTTTCCGAAATGTTAGAGGCAGAATGAATAAAAGCATGTCGTTTCCATTCATGTTTTAGGTGAAATATTCTAATTACTGTACTATACTGTTAGGGAATACGACCGACCTTCACCATTATTTGAATCAATGTGGTTGTGGTTTCGTTGTTAGGTAAGCATGTCATATACCTGTTGCATATGTTCGTAAAAAGAAAGGAATTATCGGAACAATGGGACATTTATTCTCAAAAATAATAATTATAATAATACTTCTTATAATAATTCTACCGTAAACTTTGTGACAAATCTCTCACCCATTTAATTCATTTACAAAATATTTAAGAGAATTGTTCCAAACTGTATCTTGTTGTTGCAAGCAATATGAAATACGGCTTCTGTTTTGATAAATTTGAAATTCAATCGGAAATCACCCAAATGATCCAAACATTAGGACTTACATTGCATTTTATAGCAAATGAAAAGGAACAGTAATAAAATTTGTTTAATAGTTTGTCCTTTCTGGAAGACTGAGAAAGAAGAATGAAACACATATTCTGTGAGCAATCATCAAAAGCAGTAAACTGCATCTCTTTAGTTTTGAGCAATTTTTGTTTGGTTTATATGGACTAATCCATTCTCTATTGATTTGATTCATGCAATGTGTTAAAACGTGCAACAGGCGTGCTGATGATAGGAAATGAAGTGATGCTTAACATTTCACATTACACTATTTTTATTATATTTGAAGTAGTAATTCGACTGATCATCAGAAAGGTGAGCATTAGTAACATAAGCAGCAATTCTGAATTAGGACTTGCTTTGAATTAAACGGTATAGTGAACAATTAAAGACCGGGAAATCTTTATCAAAGCAATAACTAAACAAATTTTCAGGGAACTATGTTGCACGACAAGCTGCTTCCACAGTGCACTGACATTTTCGTACAATGCGAACGATCTGCGAAGTAGTACTACCATCTCTACAATGCATTTTCAATCTGCGCCTCTTACTTTTCACAACTGTACAACACTGTTTACTGTCACTGCCACACCACCCATAACATCGACTGTTTTTAATTTGTTCTGTCGAACGGCAGTTACCTTCCACGTGATGATGATGAAATTTCTCTTTGGCACAGAAAATTTCACCTGAAATTTGTGAATTTTGTATGTAGGAAATTATTTTAATTTAAATATATACAAGAAAATTTCACGATATAACTCAAATGACGTACGTCGCTGACAATGCGTACCACTATAACCAGGAGGGCAATGACAGATGTAACCATTGGATAATGAGGAATTCGTAGTGCATGTACCACTGTAGCACTGAACACCATTACAGAGATCGACACTTTTGAAACATCCATTTAAAACCCTTTCCTTTTGTTCCGCTTTATCGAAATCAACTACTACACCATTAACATAAAAGTCGGAAATGCATCCTACAATTCTGTTTTTATTCATTTAATTCGTTCAGTAGATGAGACCTTCATATATTCAAAAATGACATGTTATTTACTAGCATTGTCTTAAATCATTTTGTTAAATAAATAATCTTTGCATGACTTATTGTGCAAAAAATTAAAAAAAAATAAAAAGTAAAATAAAATCAAAGCATTTCTAATTTTGAAACTACAGAGTTTGAAACAATTAGGGTTAACATTTTTTAACAATAGTGATCCATTAGAAAGAATAAAACACAGAAATTATATCTCATTCCACTTTTTACATTTATAAACAACGGAAAGTCCTTTATTGCCTAGCACTGAAGGTAACAAGAATGTAGCAAACGAGAAGACGTTAAAAAATGGAGCCCGCATAATTTAACATTTAACATTCTGTTCATCCTTGAAATTTACCTTTAAAGCTATGAGGTTGCTTCAAATGAAAAGCAGTGATTGCTTTAATGGCAACAGAAGTTGGGATACCACCAACATATAAGAAGTTCTTGCTTATTAATATGAATGCTTCTTCTGGACCACTGTTGACAATAGTTTGTGGCTCGTGATTATCGATTTTCAATGTTAGTGTTATTCCTTTGATGTAAATTTCTATCCGATGTGGACGTCCATCATGTACTGAGCAGTGTGTAATAATAGTGAAATTATATTTCAATATTTTAATTAAGTTTCAGATATTATCTTCAATAATTTGATTGCATTCCCTTCTAGCGCAACTATTTTGATATTAAGAATGTTTGATTATCGTCGTTAGAAAGTATAAATCCTTTCCGATTAAAAAAAAAGTCCTTAAAAGTACCAGTAACATAGCTGTACATGTGAGATGCGGGGAAATTGCCCACACAGAATGAAATTTTCAAACGACCATTGTATAATTCGATCGATAAGTGTGCATTATCGCCATAATACATGACGACTCCGATGCTGAAACAATCATTTTAAATCGATATTGTAAAATATAGAGATTGGCTAGCTCAAAATTATCAAAACAATAACCTAGCAGTAGTAATCAAAGTGAAGGTTAGATTCCCATCCGGTGAAGCACTAAAGGGTTCCAAGGCGATGAATGAATCATCGTGGACATATCCTACAGCTCTCAGTTGTTCACACCGCTTACCAGTATATCCTTCAGAGCATTTACAAAACACATCGCTTCCTAATTCATGGCATACACCCTGAAATGATTTATACTTATCATCCATTCTTACAACCGCAAATTCAAAAGATAGAGAAGTTTAATCAGATGGAGAGAAAAAACTCACATGTTCACATGAATGCGCATGACATGGGGATGTATTCGGATAATAATTAGTTGACATTGGTGATAATTCGCAAAACCTTCCTGTATATCCGCTAATACACTCACATTTGTACGACTGTATACCATCCTGAAAGATTTTACGGATACAAAGTCTTTGCTATCCTTAAATCCACACGAACAGTATGTACATGTTCAGTTTTTTTGGTACTTGTGCCATAACTTTCTGGGATATTATATATGTGAATACCATTTAAATGAAAAATATGTGATCAAGAAATTAAAAAACTAACAACGCAAACTGCACCATTTTTGCATAAATTATGCTCACAGTCATCGATGTTTATCGTACAGTTGGTGCCAGTGAAACCAGGTAGGCAATTACATCTAGAAAAAGCTCTTCAATTTTTAACTATGTGGGCTAAAAAGATTATCAATTACAACTTTCAGCATTTTTTCCAGTGACTACCAGTGATGATTTCATGTATCGTGCAAGAATGTGACGTCATTTCATGACTCTCCGCACCTCATACCATTCTGTTTATTCACTTGTTGAGTAGATCATTGAAAAAGCAAGAAGCTAGTCCCCAAGGGATATGAATTTGAAGATCTTATTATATGATGTTTTTTTTTTTGTAGTGCTGAATTGCAACACAGTAGAATTACAATGAGAATACCTGTAAGAAAGAGCTTGTCGTACACATACTCCTTTGTTTTCGCATGGATTCATTTTATTCGAACAAAATTCCATTTTTACCTCACAAAAACGTCCTATATGCGTTGCTGGGCATTTACATTCATAAGAATTTATCTAAATTGCATGTAATAAAGCAAATAATTTTTTAGAAATATATTTCCTTACTCGCAGTTATTCAAATAATATGTTTCCACTACTTGAACCACTTTCAATACAAAAATAAACTTACTAAATCAATACAAGTTGCTCCATTCTGACATTTATTAAATGTGCAATCATCGATATTAGTCTCGCAATGGTCACCTTCGAAACCTTTTACACAGTGACATTTAAAACGTCCATCTTGAAGTATCTTTAAATTGTAAAAATACAGCATGAATCTTCATTTAAAAGCCCAACAATGAGAATTCTCTTTTCCTTTTTCTCTACAGTGAGATTAAAAAAATGAAGAAAATAAAAGTAAAAATTCAAATTATTTCCAAAATTCCAGCGCTGCTATTAAGGTTTTTCAATGAATATGCTATCAGTTCCACTCGAGCATGCGGAAACTAACAAAAAACTGCATAAATCAATAGGCATTGTTACCTTGCAGGTGGCATTGTTTAAACACGGCTCACCATAACATGCATCGATTTTATTTTGGCAGTATTTTCCGTGATATCTGGCTGCGCATTTACAAGCAAATGTCCTTCCTTTCATCCTTTGACATGTGCCGCCATTTTTGCATGGACTATCAATACAGGCATCACATTTAATCAACACATTTCTTGGAACCTTTTCGGTGCATCTATAAAAGTTGGACGACAAAGCTCTAGCATAGATCAGAATTTCTTCCAATTGCGTGAAATACAAATATAAATACAGTTACTTGAACTGTAATTCATTGGCTGATAACAGTAACTGATTTCGAAGGTTCAAGGGAAGTTCACAACGAGCAATCCCAGCTTCAATAAAACGCCTTTTTATCCATCGACTGAACCACGCAATACGACAATCGCAATACAAAGAATTACTTCCAAGAGCTCTAGGATTTTCAGTTATTTAAATAGAATAGAATTATAATATATTTCTGTAGAATATGATATAGAGTATGGTTTAATAAAAAACTGGAATTTCTTACATATGTGTAATGTTATGCAGATTAGCAAAAGCTGACTCTGGCAAAATTGAAATATCATTTCCGTGCAATGAGAGAATACGTAAACTTGTTAAATGTGTGAATGCCTCTTCTCCCAGACATTCAAGTTTGTTATAACTAAGTATCAAAGTTGACAGTTTGGTCAAATTTGCAAATGCTTCGTTTTCAATTGAAACAATCCGATTATGGCTTAGATCTCTGCAAACTATGATTTAAGGATAAAAGAAAAAAGTATGTGTTTCATTGACATTTCTATGGCAATATACATAAGTGAATCACTAAAATACTAGTTATGATAAACAAGTGAGCTACTGCTCAGTGTATTGACCCTGATACCCCATCGTAGTCTAATAAATAACAAAAGTAATTGAAGCATTATATACTGGTTTACATTATTACAAGTATCAGTAACTTACAATTTCACAAGATGCTTCAATTTATTCAGTTCAGGAGGAATGTAGACAATATCGTTTGAGTCCAGTAATAATTCAGTAGTTTTAGCGGGTATGCCAGCCGGAAATTTCTTAAGATTCTTGTTCGAACAGCGTACTACTGTTTCATGACATTTGCAATCAGCCGGGCAGTAATTATCATCTTCCGCACAAGTATTTTCCGTAACCTCTCAAAATTTGGCATATTTGCGGGAGAATTTTCGACCTTCTTTAATTTCAATACATATAATTTTATTTCACGCTACAACTGTTGCACTATTAAAGCTAAGTTTAATTTCGGTTGTTCGCGCAGGAATTAAAACATTATGTTTAAAAGATGTAAATATATAAAAAGGCAAATATATCATAATTTGCAAAATCATGCTTTAATTACCAGTGCAGAACAATTCGTCCCTTGTGAGAGATGCCATCGTGCGACCCCGTAATTGAAGCGGTTCATGACAAACAGCAGAATTCAGTAAGTGTGACCCATTCATTCGTAGATCATAAACAAAATCAACAATGTGACAGTTACAGATGAAGTCGTTCCCATCTAGCGATCTACAGAATGGCAGTGAATTTTTTGATATTGGAATTAAAAAACTTTTCTTTTACACTTCACCTTTGTCATTTTTATTAATGTTTCTTGGTTAAAATCCCAAAATTTGTCGAATAAAGAACCTGAATAGAAAAAAAAATTTGAAAGTATACACAGATTTTAATGCTGCTAGCTGCGCGAACGAATCAACTGAGAAGCATTTGATCTGATTGTGACTTAAATTTCTGAAACAGATAGTTAGTATTCAGCTTTAATATCCATAAATGATCAAACTAGAAAAAGTATTTTCAAACAAGCGAAGACTTAAAAATCTTGAAGAAACGCTGCAACAAAAATAAATTATTTAAAACGAGTAGGATAACAATACCGACGAGATATATTCAGCCAAATTAATTTTCACAGTGTCCAGAAGCAAACAGAAGTGGAGAATGTGGTATCCTAAATCGTCAAAGAAGATAACATATTTTTAAGTTGATGAAGTAACAAAAAGACATCAAATAATACTAAGAATACTGGGATGAATCGCCTTTCACATGATTACTGTCGAAGCATGTCGGATATCTACATAAGCAAAAACTATCAAAACTCTTGAGTAGTTTGCACTAATGGGCATTTTAATCAAAGGATGGATTTAAAAGAAGTATTTTGATATTTAAAATTATTAGTTTGTTTTGGGAAAAAAAATGATACCATTTTCTTTGAAGCTCTAGAAAATATTTTAAGCAAAGAAGGGAAAATTGTTAGCACTATCCAGGATGTAATCGTACATCACGAAAAGTTAAGAAGGATGAATGGTGATAGATGTGATGGATAACAGAACCGATCTGATAACTTGCAAAACTTACAGTTTAGTAATTTGCAAATTTCCACTTCCAAATATTCTAGGTGAAAAATGTTGCAATTTGTTACGGCTTAAATCGCTGAAAAAAGTCAGTATTTATCAGTTCCAACAAACAAGCAAAAATAGGTCGCAGGAATATTATTAATTGTGACAGGATAGAAACATTTCAACATGTTGCAATGTACATTCTAGATCATGCATAGTCCTGACGACAGGTGTATTAGGCAGAACTGCTAGAGCTGAAAAAATGAGGATTGTAGGTTCGTCAAAGTAAATGAATTGGTTGAGAAAAGCTTACAGCTCTTGTATTTTACCCAATGCAGATAACGAATCACTGTCGATGAATTCGATTTCGTTACCATCCAGTAGCCTGAAACTCACTTCTTTCTTTATTCTTTTGTTATATGAGATGAACAGTGTTTAACAATAGCTTCGAAAGAATAAAATACAATTTAAAAAGATAACGAAGATGAATACACACAATGTGGTTAGATTTTCGAAGTGAAGATTCGTTGAAAGACGAATGGCAACTATCTTATTGTTTGACATACGTAATTCGGTGGTATAGCGAGGTATTTTGCGTGGAAAATCAGTCCAACCTTGATTACTGCAACAATTAATATATTAAGGTACAATATGAAAAATTCTGCTTTGTACATAAAAACTCTTTTTTTTTCAACAACTAGTAAACCAGATCACAGGACAGCGTCATTTCAATATACAGTATAACATTTGATAGTTAAGAATAGAAAACACTTTAAAGAATACACAATACCTGCAATCAACAAACGTATTTAAACATAGGCAGCCAACCGGACATGGATGGTCAATAATGCAGCGACCTGCGTTAGCTGTTACATACGCTTCAGACCCTTCAAAATTTATTCAAATTACTGAAAAGAAAAATCATTGAGGAATATTACGAAAGCATATTTATTTACTGAGATTTTTTAAAAAATTTATTGGCCATAAATTACCTTTGCATCGAAACTTCGAATGATGTAATGTGGATATACGTCGGTGAGCTACTCGTTTTGGTGAATCACAACGTGCACTACTAGTCTCTATAGCTTTCTTAGCTAATAAATGAGCAAGCCATTCCTGATAATGTACAAAATTCTAAAATAAATCTAAACTATAATATGCAAAATTGGCGATTAAAAGAACTTAATAAAGGTAAAATTCAGTTCTCATTTTTAATATGAATATCATATTGAAATTTACAGGGATGATGAAGGAACTAACAAGATTGCAATCACAAATAATTGGATTACGGGCTAAATGAAGTGTCGTTAAGTTAATCAATCCATCAAAGGTTCCATTAGCAATGGAATGAATTTGATTGTCATATAATGATAGCAAATTTAAGTTCGTTAGGTTTGAAAAAGTATCCCTTCGAAGACATTGAAGCTTGTTGGCATTCAAAAGCAATAACTGAAGGTTAGAAAGTCCATGGAACGCTTCCGACGGTAAATTACTTATATTATTTCCATACAAGACACTGCAAAAATAAAAAATGTATTAAATTTTCTAAAAATAGCGATCCAAATTGAATTTTTAATTTTCTTTTATTGTCGTTTCAAAAAACAAATGAAACTGGATAGCGTTGGTTACGAAAATTTCTTTAGAATTATTAAAGAGAAAATCTTGATTCTAGCGTTGAAAATTCATTAGTATATTTTTGCAATGTGCAAGCATCAAGTGGTGCTGTTTATTCTTTATGAAGTTACAATTTTCATTAAACTTCTTAATGCTCTGCAACTTCGAGTGCAATTTGAGGAACGAATATTTGTTAGATCGGTTAAGTCGACACTTAACTTGTACATTTTTTTTCATGGATTCATATTAGTTCAATAATTGATTTGAAAAAAAACTCACAGTGAGTTTAATGACTTCAATCCATCAAATGCTCGCGAACCGATGTTCCCGATATTATTTTTACTGAGATCACTAAATATAAAAGTCTTTACTAACTCAACAATTTTATTTATTTAATGATCTAATTTGACAATAATTTCCACTACAAAGACGAAATCTCTAGGAAAAACTTTATCCATTACTTTATATTTACATGAAAAAATTTATATTACGTTTTGCATTATTTTCAACTTACAGTCGTTTGAGTTGATGAAGGTTATGAAATGCTCGAGGAGGTACATAGGTTATTTGATTTTGTTCAAGCCTTCTGAAAAAGTGAAAACTTTTATAAATTCATTAAAAATTGAATTTACTAAAAAATTTTGGCACACTAATTCTGAAATATTAAATGTTCCTAATCGCAGAATGGGTCACATAGAAAAGTGGTGATAAATGCTATTTCCATAACTTCAGAAAAAGAACTTTAGAGTCTCGCTAGTCTATAAAAAAGACTACAAGAAACTCACAAAAACTATGATAAACTGAAACAATGTAAACTCACAGTTCAGTGGTTGTTGAGGGCAGATTGGCAGGGATATGTGTTAGACCACGATCTCGACAGTCGATCGTTGTTTCGGTGCAGGTGCAAACTGAGGGACAAACTGAAGCATCACGACATGAAGTGGCTGCACGTTTTTCAATCCCAGAGCATTTCATCAACTGAAATTTAATAAAGCGATAATATTCTTCAGGTCTTATTGAATTTGTAAAAACTACTCAAACTATAACTGAGCTTACAATTTAATTTTTGAAATTTGAGTATTATTTTAAAATTTAAACATTTTGTATAAGTTCTGTCCGTAAAACACTGTGGCTTTCTCATCATTAACATTTTTTGCGTAAGTAACTACATGAGCTTTTCATCAGCCGACAGAGTAGACACTGTTGATTGAAAAGCAAGCCTATATCTTACTATTGGTTTTTCTTTCTAAAATAATTCATGTTTCACCCATACCCTTTTTTCAACTTCCTAAACTTCTTCACTTTCCTAGAACTTCCAAAAAAACTTTAAAATTGTTAAAAATACCGTTTCATTGATATTTTCCAGCATGCGAGAATTCAAATGTGCTGGACGATGGCATAGTGTGTTTCGAGCTAGTAAATGTGAATTAGAAATGATTTTTTTCATCCATCGCAAACGACAGTCACAAAGCCATGGGTTTTCCGCCAATCTCCTGGATATTTTACTTCACATCTTGAAGTGTTAATATTGTTTTGTTATCGGTGACAAAACTATATCGCATTAAGCTAGAATTTTAGACGATTTTTTTCTTCTTCCTCCATGAAATTATCTGGAACCGCTCTTTGATTGCAGTGTCAAAAAAAGTTTAAAAGTGATGGGTAACTAATAACTGATAGGATTCTCATTTTTTTTCAAGGTCATATTTTCAGTTTTCGCTTACAAGATGCGGAGATTGGGCATTGGTCCAAGCTGTCCCATTGTACTCAAATTGTTGCCACTTAGTGTTAAAATTTCCATTTCTGTCCATGTTGCTATCACATGGCTGTCTAAGCTATAAACAGTAAATTTGAATAATATTGACATTAATGTGAAATTATTCCAAAAAAAAAAAAAATCCCGAACTTAAGCGGATGTCAACTTCTGAAAACTATTTTTCATAAATGATAGAATTTATTAAACTAGAACCAATAATCAGTGAAATATTTTGGACATTAAAAGAAATAACAGCTAACAGTGACGCAGTTCTTTCCACTTACAACTATGTCTACGTAACCGTTTAAAACATATGAAACTGAATGAGCAAACATTTTTGATATTTTTCTCGTGATTTGGCACGAAGTCAAGTGTATCTTTTCCTCCGCCTAATTCTAGCTTTTCAAACTTTACAAAACATTGAATGCAAACAGCAAAATCTCCAAACTGCTCTCTCCCGATAACTAAAAATAAAAGTTAGCTGCTAAAGAAGCTAACATAAGTTGTCATTCTTAGAATATGAATCTAAGTTTCGAAATCATCTGGAATGCAAAGTAAGCTGCAGCTAATTTAAAATCGTTTAATAAATTAGAAATCCTGCGCTATCAAGCAAAATAATGAAGTTTGTTCGACAAGCCATCAACTTTCGCAGGTGTCACAGTGTCGCAGGGGATGACTGCGAAGGAAGGTAAAAATGTATAGATAACTAAATAAACAGGTAAGATAGTTAATGAAAAAACCAAACATACGAGAAAATTGTTATCTAATGCTTTCGATGTAAACTTAAAACTCTGAGAAGCAAAAGAAATAATTCCAAGTTACCATGTTAGAAAATTTCGATCAAATTGCAAATTGCGCACCGATTTCGGTCCTTGTAATTGCGCATCAGTCAACACAGTTAACAAATTTCCACTTAGATCTCTGCAAATAAAATCCTTGTCATACTATTTTATATTCATAAGTTTAGCATCAAGCTTCTTCTATACCTCTGTCAACTTTTTGCCTCTGCCATCTAAATCTTTCCTTTCTGAATATCACTTTCAAAGATACTAAAATAGATCTATTTTTTTTTTTTTTTTTTTAAACTGATTTATCTCTTATGATACTGGAAAAAATTCTATTTTGTTAGAATTTGCCATTAAAGATAACAACTTCCTTCTGCTTTTCCTTTGAAATTTTCAACAAATGCAGATGTGTAGTAACTGTCTTAGACTTGCAAGACATTATTTTAAGGCATAATAAGGCATCACCTGACACAGAAAGATTTTAGAGTCTCAAACAGATTCACTTAAGTCTAACTTCGGACTGCCAGTTGACTTATCAACACTTATCTCAAATGTAACATTTTTTTGGTGAAGAAAAAGGTTAAAAGGTGAATTGCATATCATTCCATCTTATCCCTGATGCTTCACTGGAGATGAGTTCCACTTGCACTGATTCTTATTCGGAATTCCGGTGTATATTTTTACATTAAGAAGACAATAAGAGACTAAAGAAGGAAATCAATATTGCGTTCATTCTTTGATTGTAACTTTTATATTGCAGCTTTTCACGGCTGGCCTGTACTTTTATGATTATATATCACAAATCACTTAACATCATAGAAAAAAGTAGCAAAGATAAGCGCAAAAGACAGATCCCTAAATCGATAAATATTAGCAGTATATAAGCATAATATATTTTTTTCCCTTTTGGTTGATATTTCCTAATTAACCGCTTCTTGGTTTTACATTTCCCTAAGGTTTTGTAAGCACTGCTTTGTTTGCGCACCTGAAAAGCAAGCTGCAAAAAGAGAGATTTTGGTGTGTATACAGCAATTAACAACAGCAAGGAAATGAGCGAACAAACACAACTCTTTCACTGCATTATAATTCAAGGTCCATTATTTTTCCGAATATACCAAGTTTTGCCTATAAAATCTGAAGTACTGCTTAATAACTGTAAAAACAAGTGGTGCACATATGTTTAACAATAAAGAAAGTACAGAAACTAAAGAAGGAAACGAAAAAGCTGAGAGCGGGGAATTCGTTCCTAGCATGTTTCAAAAATGATATCTTTTTACCTGAAAGGCTTCGAAAAACAAATATATATAAAGCAGGAATTCCTGCACTATGAACATTTTTCTATGCTGTACGTCCTACACGTAAGCTTGATCAATGAAAAAGGTCATTAAAAAGATAAGCGCAAAAGACTTTGATCTTTTGTAGAAAACTGTGTTGATCCACCATAGCACTTATTACGTATATAACGTAACTTGTCCACAATATAGTATTGCTTCGGTAAGATTTTATCGTAACAGATTGAAAATTAAAATTTTAGTAATCAGCTGATGTATTTGGAGAAAATCTTAAAAGAAATGAGCTTTGTTCGCAGTTTATTCTTGATTCTTCGAGGTTTTTCGACTGGCCGTTAAAATACTAAAACTTCTCCTTTATTCCTCCCTCAAGATTTCTTTTGTAGAAAACTTTAATTCAGAAACCTCAGGTATTATTATGTGGAAATCTGTCTAATGATTTTCTTTATTATTTTTATTACAGTATCTGTAGGGAATTCTGTCAAATTCCGAATATATTTTTCATTTCTTGCATCTGATTAAGTAACACGGGGAAATTAATTAGCTGGAGAAAGAAATATCCATCTCAAAAGTGTCATATTGTTTTTTAGTTTCAGAAGCCAATTTCATTTTGCAACAGTTGTTCACAGTATGCATGTTTATAAATTCATAGGCATCTTGTTCCCCTTGCGTTAATGAGGCACTCATCACCTAACTATCCCTATCGCTATTAGCGATATATTCCTCCAGGAAGCAATAAACCTTCGAAATTTCAATAATTTCCATGAAAACTGAAAAAATTCGCTTTATATAGAATTGAAATTAGGAACAAAATTGAGACCGTCAAAATTTTTAATTAATAGACAAAGAAACGAAAGAATATTCAATAGAAAAGCAAAAGAATGGTCGAATAATGAAGACCTAATAAACTAATATATATATATATTGAAAACCTAATAAAATAATATTACCTTCTTACCAATCTGGCGAAAAAAAATGCACTTTTTAGTTTTCTATTTCAATGCACTAATGAGTTTCAATCCCAGTAGTACTTTATACAGAATCGTTCCTTTTCGAATATTTCTTTTACTTAACTCTTCAGTTTTAATCATATTTTCTAAGCCCCGCAACAAATTCAAGTTATTTGCACTTTTACTAGGCAAAACCAAGATAGATTCCAAACTTTCGGTGCATAACTAAAGTAATTGTGGCCAAAAATAGGATCGTATTAACTCTAAACCGTCAGAACTCATATAAAGAAGAATTAACATTTACTGCTTTAGCTCGTACAAATTAACCTTGTTTCCTCTACATACATCAAAATAATTCTGAGTGAAAATTTAAAATTAGGATCTTTTTACAATACAAAGATGGAAATGAAGGGATGAGGTAAAACATTTCCGAAAAATTTCCTACAATGTTATTCAAGTGATATAGAGAAATTTATGCATTCATTTATTTCGGTTTTTGTTTGTCAATTAACAGTGGCGGCAAATAAGCACATTGAAGGTGAATTTTTTTGTGGACAATGAAGAGATGGAAACAGTTTCTCTAGAAATGGTTGAAGAGAGTAAAAGCAGCATATAATTTCAACCGCACTTATTGCCACTCTTGGAAACTGGAAAAGTAAACAAAACGTAAAACTAGAAATAATTTTAAACTGAAATAAACGCAGTGGCTTAAAATAAATCATAAAATTTTCTAATTTGTTTTTCATTTTTTACATTCCGATCACTTGATCAGTGTTGTATAATCCTATATGACAATTACAATTAGAACTTATATGTCAAAACAGATTCTTAAGTCATTAAAAATTTTGCTGGGCTAATGAATGAGAACGAACAAAGTTCACATAATAAAGACTGTGGCATTCTTACCCTAAAGTTTATTGGAGACGGATAAAGATTGTTGAGTAATTCTGAATTTGGTCAGACTTAGGAAAAATGAAGTTCTTCTAGTTATGGTCAAATAAGTTTAATTTATAACCGTTGAAATACTAGTATATTCTAGTTTATAAGGACAGAATATCTTTAAGTGACTTAATTACTTAAGCAGTAATAAATTTTGAAAAGCTTATTTCAGTTGATAGTAACAACTAATTAGAAACATCATTGAGTTGATCACGATGTGGATGGTACAAACAAACGCAGTAACATTTACAGCAAACGGGAAAACAGGGAAGTACATAAACCAGAGAGATAATGTCTGACCCTGAAAATATGCACCAATTGCTCATCGCTTATTTCAATCACAAAATTCTCTTCATCCACATTTTCTTTCTTCTAGCAGTTATGTTACTAGATAACTTCATTTAGTATGAATAACAAATAAACAAGTATGTATGAGTTTTTTCCTTTATTTCTTATCTTCAAACACCTGATTCAAATGTGAAAAATTGAAAAATGCAATCGGTAGATCTGCTTTGTCACAATGAGGAACCAACAACAATTGCTTTACATGATAATTCCAGAAATTTTGTTTAAAATGAATTTGGAAATATTGTTATGTTTCACAAAGTCAAAAAAAAAAAAAAAAAAAAAAAGAAAAGAGAAAAAATGAGAAAATGCTGATAGGCAATGGATTGTCCCTGAAAAGCACATAGTAGCTAAAAGAAAACGATTTTATGGACGTTAAATATTGCAACATAATGCGATAATGAAAAATAGAGCTTTTAAGGAACCTTTTTTTTTTTCAAAAAGTTTTAAAATATTTCAATATACTGCTTTTCTCACTGATGGCTTTTTGAGCTTCATCTTCTCTTGTAACATAAATAAACAGCTGTGTTGGATCATTAAATATTCAGACTTAGTAAAAATAAAATTATATTGGATCAGCTAAACAGAGTTGGCTACAAAAACATTTATAAGAACGAAGAACTTAATAGGAATTAATGAATTACTTTGTGAACTCAATAAGAACTTTAATTAACCATAATTACAAGTTTTTTACAGTAATTTTAACATTATTGTTGTTGAATCTCTATGTACTATTAAAGGACTGACTAATAAGCAATGTTGAGATATTCTGAAATTAACAAAAGCAAGCCTTATACTCTAAATCAACAAATTTTGGTCCCTTTTGATAAACGATCTAGGTTCTGGATTCAAAAAAAAATTAAACAAAAAAAACAATTTCAAAAAAATCCAGTTATTCTACGAAAACATAAAAAGGTTTCATAACTCTTGAAATGACTAACAGACGATGTAAATTGACATTATTGATGAAGATTTTGTCTGGCAATGTTCGCAAACGATTTCTATTTAATCGCCTGTAAAATTGCTATCCATGAGATTCCAAACTGATTCTATCACAAAAATAAAGTAAGTTCACGGCTTAACTGCTAAGTTCTGAGCTTCCAGCGATTATTTATTTTAATTAATTTTTAAAACTTCAACTTGTTACAGCAATGAATGTTTAAAACTAGCATTGACAAAATTTTACATTTTTCAAAACTGATCACTGAATAAATGAACTGACTGGACGAAAACTTACAGCCTCTCTAGTGCTATTAAATTATCGAAGGCGCCACTTTCGATCATGTGAATCTGATTATCCATCAATTGTCTGTAAGCCTAATACTTATTAAATATGGAAATTCATTAGCAAGTGGCTAAATAAAGTAGCGCCAGTTTACATTACAATCTCTTTAAATAACCGAGAAGAAAATGTCCCTTTTGCTGCATAATTTAAAACCAATAATTAAAGATTAATTCAAAAATCTAATACATTGAAACTTCTGGCCAGTGAAAAAAAAAAAAAAAAACAGTAAGGAATGGCACTTATACAGATGATTGAAAGTATATTAAATGCAACCAACAAAATTTTGAGTCGACGTAGAGCTTTAAGGTCATTCTTTCGTATCTCCGATATTTTGTTCTCTTGAAGGTCTCTGTAACTATTTTTTAATCGTGAATTTTATTTATCATGAATTTTATTTACACTAAGATTTCCTATTATATTCGTGGAACTGTGGTAATCCGCAGCAGAAAATAAATAGGAAAAGAAACATACAATCGTACAGTATCAGGTGGTATTCTAGATGGTATCCTGAGAAGATCTTGTCCGGTACAAATGACTGTATCCTGAGAACATGAGCACAGATGTGGACATGAACTGGTGGCAGCCTTGATGGTAAGGGTCAAGTGCAAAATTGCTACACCACGAAGCAGCAGCATATTCTTTGGGTCGCTCAATCGACGCAACCCATTCTCTAAGTTTCTACAACGACCAACTGAAATGAGCGCTCCGCCTCTCCTCCCACGTCCTTTTCCTCGACCTTTTCAGCGACGACCATCCTATCCACCTGCCCGTCTATTCCACCCGATCACAAAATATTATCGCCGTCATCAACATTTTCCGAGACTTTCGGGATAGCCGTTATAACTAACTACTCGTCACTTATTTTCAATAATCTATAAATGCAACACATGATTTGACAATCGAAACACAACGACTGCTCAATAAGTCAAACATTCGTAAATAGGAAACAGTATGTTTTCCGTATCTTGACATTTGTCTATGCCATGTTCACTTAGGGCTTTCAAAATTTAAGCTTTTCGGGAAAAACTTGACAAGAAGGAGATGACAAAAGAGATATAAATAAATACTTTGAGAGTTTTTGAAAATTTTTCAGGCAGTGAAATTGTGGTAGCAGATCGGGTGAGACACTGTCACCTAGCAAACATAAAAACGCCATGCAAAGTTCATTAAGCGAAAAGAAATAGAACAGTTCAGCAACCAGATTTACAGGATTCAAAGTTTTACTTCTAGCCCCTAAACTATTTAAAACCTATTGGAAGATCTTCAACACTATATTTGTTCAGAGTACCTTGCATTTCATTTCCTTTCGATAAACATATCAAAATAAACTGTCTATTTTCTAGCACGAATGAACCTTAGCGGAATAAGCACTAAAATGGCAATTAATAGTGAAACTTGCTTCATTCAAAAATGCTTCTTTTTACATAAAATTTTAGGTGCAGTAGTTTTATGGTTTCAGTTCAAGAACTTTTTTCTTATCTTCCACTGTTTCGTTTTCCTACTTTTATTTTTTTAAAAAAGGAAAAAATTAAATACCGTTTCCCTTTGTTTCTCGGAAAAATTGGTTTGGAATACCGAAATTGATTTATTGAAAGTTAAAATGCTTTACTGCTTTAAATTTCTTTAGATTTGAACATGAAAACTTGTAGTATAGCACATTTTGTTCTTGAACAATTTTTGCTGAACACATTTTTCGCTTGAGAATTTACTAGAGAACAGAGTTTTAGATATAATATTCCGACTCAAAATTCAGGGGATGATAAGGTTGATGAACTTTTGAAAATTGCCAACAGCAATTACTGGCTCTCTCTTTGCAGTAGTTCAATTAGTAACCATATCTTTTCATTGTGTACTGTATATCACACATGACGTGATGATTCATGACTAATTATATTCAAATAAAAGTAGTAAATAGATAAAATATCAGGTAGATAAGTAAATAAACAAATATATATAGTGAACGAATAAAATGCAAAAATGTATGGGGAGGATCGTGAACCCACACAAAGAACCAATTAAGAAAAATGCCAATGATTTGCACAAAAGTAATTTTACGGCACGAAAAAACAGCAAATGTTGTGATAAATTCATAAAAATTATGATTCGAATTTTTTCTGGTAGAATAGAATTGATTAAAAATAGTTTCTTAGAGATTTGATAATGCTATTGAACACTAAATATATATATATATATATATATAAAGAAAGCTGGAATTGGTCAAAAAGCTAAATCCATGTTATTTGAAACAAAATTTATACTCATTTCTCAAAAATCAGGCTTTACTGGAAATACTTCAATGTATAATCGAACCAAGGAATAAGCATGTTGTCCTTCATAAAGTTTGCTTTTAAGAAGCTTTAGATATTAGCTTTTGAAATTATTGATTATAACAAGCAATAGCTTATGTCTTCTCTTTCCTTGGCTTCTACTTTGATGCCTTTAGAAGACTAGAAAAGAGGGTTGAGCTTGAAGCAGTGAGCAACGAAGATTAAATAAAGGAGAATTACTTTGACATCCTCAGTAGTCACAATAACTCCAACAATAACAACTCTAACAAGCAAGATTGTCTTCATTTAGGTAGCCATGCCACAAAGAACGATTCTATACTGCTCCACTCAGATTTGTTTTCTGCAAAAAGTGCTAATGCTGCAATTATGTGTAGCTGCGGTAGTAGCCTTCCGTCCAGAACACTGCTCTAATGATACTGATGTTATGGATCATCTTTTAACTGAGGCTGCACTTCGCCACAATCGTCATAAGTTACCGTCTAGACCAGTTATTGTACGAATCGAAATGTGGATTCAAGAAGTAACTTATGTTTCTGAGTTAACTCAGGATTTTGAAATTGGTACGCTTAGATTAAAACCTTCAAAATATTTCATAAACTAAAATTATACGGTATTGAAGTTATTTATGAGGTCTCTTGAAGACCAGTCTAACGGTTAGTTTGACGATAATTTCTTAGGATTTTTTTTTAAATTCTTTTTTGATTTTTTTCTTTTGAAAAAATCTTCGTCGATGTACCCGTGCTGTACACGATCCATTGTGGTAACACGTTCCATGACTCTGATCTTACGCAACCAAGGTAATTTCATTTTGTACAAGTTATGATTCATGAAGTTTGCTGCTTTAAATTTTTAATCTAATTTTCAAGTTTAAGAATAACAGATAATTCCGGTTCTAGATTATGTGCTAGCACTTTATTTATGCATTATGACTTGAATGAATATCTTTTATGAATCTGAAACTTGTCATCAAATTGGCTGTATTGTTACTTCCAAGATCTTAACTTCCGAAGCTTAGTTTGGTTTTACTGATTTTCACGCTAAAATTTTTTTTTTTTTCATTTCAAATTCGATTGTCTACATTTTAATTAAGTGATCTATTATTTGTTCTTTGATTCATCTGTCATTGTTTTGAGCTTTTCCAAGCATAAATTTCGTATACTTCAATAAAAAATTTTTTGAAAAACCAATCCTCTTAAAAGTATGAAAGAAAGCGGAACAAATTTTGTTTGCATACAGATCTTTCTAGTACTATTAACTTAAGAAATAAAATTTGCTTGAATAAAATATTAGAACAAATATATGGTATTATGCATCGTCCGAAAAGTTCCATTCTCCAAATTACTAATTTATAAGTAGATAATTTGGATATCTGAGCAAAAGTAGCTGACTGGCATTTGTTGATAGAGTTTTACAAAATATCAGAAGTAATTTTGACATGTGCTTCCATGTGAATCTGTGTCAAAGTAAAAATAGTAAGAATTTTGAAAAAATAGAAGAGAAAAAAAATAGAAAATGGGGTGGGAAGAAAAAGGCACGCAGTAAGCAATTTAAATTTTTCTCCAGTTTTAAATTGATTTTTTCTAATTTTCTTTTGCAAAGTTATCTTTAAGTTTAATTCACTTTCTTCTTTTTCTTGCTAATACCAAATTACGAATGAACCGAACGACTACTAAGGTTTGAAGATATTTCCTGGAAAGACGGATACATATTTGATCTCAAATTTATTGAATCAACTTATAATATTATAATAAAATCTTTATAGATTTGTATGTGAATGAATTTTGGGAAGATCCAGCACTTAACTACGAGGTGCTTTCCCCATGCAACGGCAATTTAAGTTTTGATCACAGCATCCACGAAAGTATTTGGATTCCTAACACTTGCTTTATCAATTCCAAAAAGGCACTTATCCATAGCTCACCATTCCGGAATGTTTTTCTTATGGTTTTTCCAAATGGTAAAGTTTTGGAACTTCTGTCTTTAAAGATACAAACGATGATAAAAGGAAAGAGAAATGTTTATTTCGTCTTTTTTTAGTTAGCAAAAGTGACATTTGAACATTTAACATTTTTAATGATAAATGATCATATCAGTTATTGGATTTAAGTCTTGTAAGCGACACTTTCCTTTTTCTTTCTGTAATTTGGTATTTCAGGCTCAATATGGTCATGTTGGCGTATTAAGAGCACGGGTCCGTGTCATATGGATTTGCGCAATTTTCCAATGGATTCTATATCGTGTATGCTAACATTTGAATCCTATAATTACAACATTCAAGAAGTACGAATGAAATGGAATGAACCTCATTCTGTACTGATGTTTAAGGATATCGAATTACCAGATTTTACTTTGGTCAACTACACAACTTCTGTCATTGAAGCTGTAATCTTTTTTATATAATCGCTTCTTGATTATTAAAGACTAAAAATATGCTGTATCAGCTTCAAATTTAAATTTATTGTCAATTACAATGTAATTTGTAGGAGTATGCAGCGGGCTTATGGGATGAACTTACTGTTTCATTTACTTTCAAAAGAAGGTATGGATGGTACATTTTACAAGGTAAGTTTGTTCTTAAATTATTATTGAGTTTTTTGCAAAAAAAAGGAAAATTATTAATCAGAATAATTTATATCGTTCAGGATACATCCCAACGTATTTAACGATATTTATCTCATGGATACCTTTTTATATGAGTCCGCGAGCAATGCCGGCTCGCACTATGATTGGTGTCAATTCTCTACTTGCAATGACATTCCAGTTTGGAAACATTATAAGGAATCTGCCTCGAGTATCATACATTAAGGTGAATTCCCAAATTGTTTTTAAACTTCACATTTATTGATAATTCTGGATTTTCCTGGAAAAGAAAAAATGATGTTTTTCCTTAAATTTCCACAATACAACACGGAGTATTGATTCTTCTTTTCACAATTTCTAACTTAAACTCTAAAACTTTTGAAATTCTTTCAAGTTCCTATAATAGCACATAAAATTGAGTAATAAATTTTATTGCAGGCAATTGATATATGGGTTTTAAGGTAAGCCTTTAAATTATTTATAGATATATATATATATATATATATATATATTAACTTCTGCAAAATATTTGCAAAAATTTAATTCTCAAAAAGTTAGCAACCTCTTTCATTACCAGAAAACTAGAAGAATTAGTCTTATTTTTTGTCCTTCACTTCAATTTATTTGGAATTTATGCATCAGCAATCAGCCAACCTTATTTTCCAACTTATCTCATTGCTTTTATCATTTTTTAAAACTGTGTCATCACCGGAAATGATTGCACTCGTCCTTAAATAAATAAATACACATATTCTGAATATTTAACA